TAAGCGCATCATTGAGCAAATCCTAGACAAGCTCGTCGCTGTTGACAGACACAAACTGTCGACAGACTATAGCTAAAAGAAATTCTACTTCACTTCATCGGCTTCCTACCTTTTACATTGAGCAGTGGCATAGTACATTTAAAATTGTTGAAGTGAAAACTCTGGAAGAAAAATTCCTGAGCATTATCTTTTGAGAAGAAATATAATTTTATATACTTAAATTATATACAGTGAGAGGCTAATTTTTAGAGTTTCTATAATATTTAAATCTTCATGAAAAATCTGAAAATTTTCAAAAGGGAGAAAAAAGTGTTGTAAATAAATTACAATAATTAAAACAAAATGAAATAGCAAATAAAATGTAAATTCTTCGTAAAGCCATTAGAAAGTAAAAAAATAAAACAGCTCGACTAAGATCACTTTAAGGGACAATAAATTGTTAGACGCCTAATTGAAAGAACCATGAGGATTCACGGAGGTTTAGCTCAGATCTTTTAATAGAACTAGAAAAGAAAGCGTGTACCTCAATTATCTACAGTCTAACAAGATGTTCAACACCGTTCTGTTGTTCAACGCTGCAATAACACTTTCATCGGAGGACAACTCATTAATACCTCGATGAAAATTTGTGGATCGCTCGCTGCATACGATTATTTTGAGAAACTCGCTATCTCTTGTACAAACCGCAGTTTATCTAGCGGTTCAACGGCTTAAATTTAGCGAAGAATTTCGCTAAGTCGGCGAGACGTAAAAGCGAGAGGGCCCTGCCGGGGCTGGGACCGAAATACACGAGTACAGGATTGCATTAACGACTTCTCTAACTGTTCATCTGCACGCGACTTTTTTTTCCCCCTCTCGTTGCTTGTACGTACACGTCACTGCGAACGTAAATCCTCTGCCTGTGATTTCCTTTGTGCATGAAGAAGATCCCAAGAAAATGTACGAAAAAGTGAAGGGAGCAGTCGGTCGCTGTATTTTTACAAGTAAAACTGGCTGCAACAGTTATAAGGCAAGGCATTTGTGTCGCAAGGAATCTCGACACCCCCTCGTCGTACAGTAATACGAGTGGCCGTGAAATCAACTACGTTGGCCATTCTAAAATCGTGCCAGAATTTCTTGCCAAATTTAATTGGAGCTCCGTTCTGTCTACCTGAGCAAACCGGCGACCCCGTGCGTTCATCCTTTCCTTTCTCTCTCTCTCTCTCTTCGTACTTTGCTGATAAAATTTCGATGCCCAGACGAAACATTAACACCTTGCCAACGTGATATTGCAAAGCTTACGATTTATTTACGAGTTATTTCTACGATTAGCGTTGTATTTTCGGGAGGATCGTAAACCGTGTTGTTTTGTTACTTTGTTTGAAGAAGATATGTTTGTCAGTTCGAGATCGGTGTTTGTTAATTCTCACCAATGCAGCGAATTTACATTTGTGAATTTTTGTTGTTTGTCGTTCTGCCTCTTTTTCTTTTTATCGTTCGACAAGTTTTTAGAAGCTTGGACAAATGTTTCTCGCCTCGTGATAAATGTTCGGGTACTGTTTGGTTATCTCACAGTCTTATTTTTTTTTTTTTGTTGAGAAAGAATATGAAGCAAATTGTTTCTTGATATTCTAACAATAGAAAAAAAAAGGAAATAGTTTCTAAAGGTGAAAGTAATTTTACATGCGTAGATGATCACTTGTTAAGTTGCAAAACGTTTCTATAAAAATAAGTGAAATTATTTTTTAACTTTTTCGTTAATATTTTTGTTAAAACACAAATACCTAATTCCTACTGAGTTTCTTGCACTTGTGTAAGATTCCAATGGTTTAAAAGTTTCGTGATCGAAAAAAAAAATGGAGCAAATTGTTTCTCGATATTCCAACAATAGAAAAAAAAAAGGAAATAGTTTCTAAAGACAAAAGTAATTTTACATGCGTAGATGATCACTTGTCAAGTTACAAAACGTTTCTATAAAAATAAGTGAAATTATTTTTTAACTTTTTCGTTAATATTTTTATTAAAACACAAATACCTAATTCCTATTGAGTTTCTTGCACTTCTGTAAGATTCCAACAATGGTTTAAAAGTTTTGTGATCGAAAAATATGGCGGCTATACTATTTTGCCGGGTAGAAAGCTTGTAACAAGTTGTAGCAACTTTGAAAAATCGTTAAATCGCACACGTGCAGCTACTTGTATTACGTCAGTCGTTCACGTAAGAACTGCTAAACGATAATGATTTGTTAGTTTCTTAGTTGGTTGTAACTTCTGTTACCAGGCGACTCGAAACAACGATATCGTGACATTCAAACGCAATTTGAATTTTTTTCCAAATAAGTTAAAATACGAACATGATTTCATTTACTTAAACAAAGCGCGAGTGTCATATTTCTAAAAGGTTTCGTCGTCATTTAAAATATTATTTCGTATAAAATACACGCTAATGAAAATGTTTGAAGCCTCTAAAGAGCAAACAATGAATTTTATTACTGAAAATTGTAAAGCTTTCAACCACGTATACTGCTGAAAAAAGAAACAAGACAAGTGGCAGTAAAAATCCGGAATATTATTTTTCAGAACTTCCAAACGCTTCGAAGGTTTACATTTTCCGCTCAAAATAATCGGGAACCGCTGTTCAAAATTTTATTGCACGTTAAAAACATTCGGGATACTTGAGAATTTTTGCCAATAACTGCATTATTCTTCTGTGTAGCATTCTCTTATGAATACTAAAATCTTTGTTTTCACTCAGCTTACCTTTATACGCCCTATGAAAATTTTCTTTCAATTTTCAGAAAATTCAGACGTTGTTAATTAGAACAAACTTAATCTCTTCACACGTATTAACAAGCATTCCAATAATATTATACTTTTAGATAGATAGTTTTCGCTTTTTACTACAACGAAACTTTTAAAAATTAATTTCTTTAGACTTTCAACTATCTGGTCAGACTTTAAAATGTTTACAACACGAATAATTACTTACTAAAAAAACAAAGGAGTTAATCTTTTCATGTTCATTCGAATGGTAACGTCAACCAATCCATTCTAAATGATCTATAAAATTCAAATTTGTTTACGTAATTTTGTATCTCGCATAGTAAACATGGATTTTATCACGACCACGCGCGTTGCTTCTTGGCTGAATCGCGCCAAATTGTGTCGTCACGTGCGGCCAGGGTTTTACGGGATCTCCGGTGTTTATGAGCCTTTAATTATTCGTGGCCAAGATTTTTCGGCGAGCAGCAGACCCACCTATTACGATACACGCCGTTTGAAGTGCCGGGAAAGCTACGCGATCTATTTTCGAGCTTGAGGATTTGCTGTTGTCGGGCGGACACACGCCGTCACTCGATCTTCCTCTTTTGATTCGAAGAAAGCTCGTCTTTCGCCGACTGCCATCCTTTGCCACCCGCGAAAATCTTCCGGTGTATTTTTAGCCGTGCCTTCAAGGTCCTGGGAGGAGAATAATAAAAACATAGGCTGAGCGAGAGAAGGACTCAACGTTACGAGGGAAGGATTGCAATTTACACACGTGAATTGTTCAAGAGTGAAATTTCATTTGTAATCGTGGCCTTGTGGAGACAAAAATTGTTACGGAAATCTTTATCACTCTAATTGAACATTTCCGAATTTAATCTATCACTCTAATTGAACATTTCTGCATTTCTGCATTTAATTAATAATAAAATATAAAATAATTGGATGTATAATAGAAAATAATATAAATTGTTTAATATTAATTATATATATGTCAAAATTATTAAAATATTATTCAGTGAAGTTGAACATGCAAATAATTTTCTCAAGGAAAAATTAATATTAATATAAACTGATGTAAAAATTCTATTTAAAATTAATAAAATAATTGAATCTAATCAAAAATTTATAAAGTGACCAAAAAATATAATAGGAATAAATTTCATAATTGTTGATAAAAGAGAAATTTGTTGATGATTTTTTATAACAAAAAATTATTCAATTATGGAATGGAAATATTCTTATTTTTATAAATAATATCTTTCCTATCTTTCAAACGAAGATATTTATATTATCCCTGTCGAAAGTTTCTCTTACTTGCAGACGTTTGTACACCATAATTAAAATGATTATGTACACATATCTTAATTTTCTTCCTATTTTGTATAACATCAGTATTCCAATATTTTTTATCTTCTTTAAAATGTGATCCCCTTTGTTCTGTCTCAAATATTTCATGTTATATTCTTCCCATTTCCTAAAAACGTATGATTTATTTTTCCGTCTTCCTGTTATCTATGTAAAATTTCATGCTATAATACGTAAATATTCTTATGATGATGATATTCTTTTTTATATCTGCATTCGTCGTCTCTTCGACTCGTTAAAGCAGATATTTTCTATTAATTTTAAAGAGCAACAAATTTTGTGACCAGTCGATGAGTTAGACTCTGGAGGATGCACTGAACACCATTTATTCTGTTATACCATAACCGCATTCTATTTCTCCCTCTTCAGCTAATTTCACGAGAGTTCGGTGGACTGACCTCACGAATGCCGACGATTGGCTACGATATTTTAAGCAACAGCGATGCTTCTGCTATATTTCATACTCCAAAATTTGTGACAGTTTATAAACTGCCTGCCAATTTGTTATACACGCTTACATTATCTAAATTTTATAAACCTTCGTGCTGAAGAAAACTGATGATAATAATATAAATGATTAAACCATTGATTAATTAAAATAGACCAGACATCCAATGCTTTTTCGTTTCATATATTTTTGGGGTCAACTAACCATTCGTATCATTTTCGTATCACATCCTACCATATCGATTTAGACAGGTTTTGCACTGCAGCGCTACTAGTAACAGGAAATAAAATCACAGACGAGAACACAAACGAGGTAGAGGAATAGACCTAGCATCGAATGGAAAATTGAGGCCGGGAATCTGAAATACCGACATAGTAAGACATGTAGCGACCTATAGTTCCTCGAGTACGAGTTTCGAACACCAACTTGCACAAGCCGCAAGTGGCTGTGCGCCTAACGTCGAAGTCAACCGATATTCGATGTTAAGCAAACAGAGTGCGGAACCGCTAGGATGGGTGACCATCCAGCCCCTAGCGAATAGTTACAACAACAAGCGTTTCTGGGGTAAGGAGTCGCTGCCAGCAACCCCACTGATGAGTCTAGGCAGCGACTCTGAGACGAAACGCACAAACTTTCCTCACGTTACCAAAATCATCACTTCCTACATAATCCTCGCATTTTCATCGCCATTTCAAACCCTTCGGACATCCCTTTTATGGCGCACTCTATATTCAAACAACGGTGAACTGAGGAATTACATCAGGTAATACGATCGAGGTAGGTCAAGTAGTAAATGGGCCAAGAAAATGAAGTTTTAAACTCATTACATTGTCAATCGTTCAATATTGAAAAGTGAATCAAGTATATAATCGAAATTATTTTAATGCATACATGGCACAAAAAATACTATCCATGTTTTACGGATTTATCATGATTTTTATATATGTAGTAAAAAATTATGGAATCATTAATACACAGTTTTAGATATAAATAATTTACATATCAATAAATATTCTTAAAAACAGTTTCTAACTAAATTTTCAACTATATTGAATTAGTAATAATATTAAATTATGAAATTTATTTTAATAAATTTATGTCAAAACAATTTTATTTTAACTATGAAATGCAGTGCACTGGATATGACAAAAAATTCCATAATTCAAAACATTATGCTTATTAACTAAAATATTATAAGAAACATGGCAATAAAATACGTTGATAACTTGAGTATCAACATTATAATATAGACAATTATTTACTTAACCACTTGTTTTCAATTAACTCAATATAAATCTTTAATACTTCATGCAAATGTAATGAAAAATACAGACATATACACAAATATATATTTATAAAATGCAAAATCGACAAAAGAAATATTTTTACAAATATGGAACAAAGGAGTACATTATATTATAGCGAAATATACAAACATCAAAATTTTTCGAAAAGCCTATGTATCAGGAGATTCGATAAACGGCCGATTCTGAAGTGAAACCTCTTCGAGCCTCATGTTCCCCTGAAACAAAATCCCAATTTTTAGCCAAATGATCCTCCTTGTTAGCGAGATATTCCAAAACCAAAATTTTTCGAAAAACTTCTGTATCAGGAGATTCGCTCAACGGCCGATTCTGTCGTGCCACCTCTTCGAGCCTCATGGTCCCCTGGTACAAAATCCGAATTTTTAGCCAAATGATCCTACTCGTAAACCAGTTATTCCAAATCCAAAATTTTTCGAAAAACCACTGTATCAGGAGATCGGCTCAACGGCCGATTCTGTCGTGCCATCTCTTCGAGCCTCATGTCATCCAGATACAAAATCCAGAGGTTTTTCGAAATATTTTGGTTTTGAAGTATCTCGTTAGCGAGGAGGATCACTTGGCTAAAAATTCGGATTTTGTATCAGGAGAACATGAGGCTCGAAGAGGTGGCACGACAGAATCGGCTGTTGAGCGGATCTCCTGATACAGAGGTTTTTCGAACAATTTTTGTTTTGGAATATCTCACTAACGAGGAGGACCATTTGGCTAAAAATTCGGATTTTGTATCAGGGGAACATGAGGCTCGAAGAGGTGGCACGACAGAATCGGCCGTTGAGC